TCTACAGCACAACACAGCCCTATTCTCATCCAGGATCTCCAAGTCCCTGCAGGCAGGACCCTGGCATTAATTCATCGAGGGCATGACACAGGCTGTAACCCATTTGAAAAAAACAACAAAACAATAATAACTGTAAAAAGAAAACCCAATGTACCACATCCAGCAATGAGAGTTTAGCTCCTCCAGCTAGATTTGAAGTAAGGAATAAGTTTCAATCAGTCACATGGCACCTGAGCTCTGAAGTTTATTCACCAATGGCGACACTGAAGACACCACTGACTGATCTCTGACTTTCACTCGAACCCAAGTTGTTTCCACATTTTTACAAAGTAAGATTATACTGTAGCTATATTTGTGGTGACTAGATTTGTGCAATATCAATTTAAGACCCCCAAGGACAATTAAGAGTAACAGAAAAGTGGGCTTGTTTGGTTCTGTTTGGCAGACGGTAGTTGTACTTCCGTAGAGCTAAAATTACAATCAGCCAATCATAGCTTACAAGCAGGTGGGGGATGGAGTGGCCAGGACCAATGGCCAGAAGCTGACCGTATTTAACAGACCCTGGAAAGAACGGGTCTGTTAGCCACAGGCACACTGGCCCATCTCTCTCATTCTCCCATTGGCAGGGTCACAGAGTCGGATCACTTCCTAATGGAAAAAGGAATATTAAGATTATAACTGCCATAGGGAGGTTAGTTTTTTTTCTTGTCACTCAAAGTCACATTTGCCTTTTCTCCTGCTGAAGGAATAATACACCTCTTTTTAAAATAAAAGATTCAGCATGAAAATCAGCAACAAACTGAAATGACACACAAAAAAGAATTTAATCAAAGCTAACCATTTGCTGCACATTTCTACTGAAAGACTGCCTTTTTGCCATACCTGCTGTGGGAATAAGGCATAAGCTATTTCAATTACCAAGGTCAGAAATTAATAACATAAAAGCACATTTCTAAACTTGTGTGCAGGTGAACTGGGCTCTCAGCACAATTTCACAAGCAGAGAACCCAGCCTACTGTATCTTGGCTTGGATGTTCAGGCAAAATAATTATTTCAGTCTTTAAATAATTACAGCATGAAATATTTAAGTGCAGTAACACATTAGCATTACTTCTTGTAAGAATGAGATAATTACAGCCTGGCATTTTCAGAAATTTTTATCTTCACTAAATGTTAATGAATGACTTATATAACCTGTAGAATTTGTGTGTATGTGAGAAGACTAATAATGATGTTATTTTAGAAAACAGCAGTGCCAGATGATTTGTAAATAAAATTTCACCAATTAATACACAAAATAAGGACCTCCGATTATGCACAACTCAACAACATGCCATGTCCCAGTGCAAATAATTGGGCCTTTCACAAGAGGATGGATGATTCAGCGGCTTGTTAATGCCATGCCATGGAGTGCTATATTCTATCAGAATATCTGAGGATTTTTTGCAAACAGCAGGTCTGAAACCTTGCGGGCAGTTTAAGGTAGCACTAATGGAATTACTGCTTTCAGTCCTGGGAGATAGTCCTGGTGGAATAAGAACCAGCAGCCAGCTGTTGGGTTAAATATGCCCTGTAGTGTAACTACCCATAGCGGATAGACCAGTTATACAGCGCACAGACGAAAACATTATCACCTAAATTAAATCAAACCTTTCTATCTGCCTACCCATTTCAAATCCAAAACCAATATTATACAGAGCTTGTCCTTTTATAAAAAACCTCTGGCAGGTGATTTATTTATAGGCTGATGTGGGTAAAAGCACTGACGTTTTGAATAAATCATTGCTTTAGATAATGTTAAGGCAATACAAAACGGCAATGTGCCGCCCTGCTTTTGATAGCCCAAAGTGTTTACGTTGTTCTCGATTTTCAATTCTCTGGCTTGGGCTCGTGGGTGAAGTGTGCTGGCACGCCCCCCCTGCATGCACACAGACACACCTCCAGAGAAACGATGAAAGCTTCCTTCAACAAACAGGAACACGATGCAATATGAAAGCTGGACTTATGCCAGTGTGTGCTGAAATTGTACTATTGTACCCCAGCTACCATAAAGTAATTCCTGAGCATAGTAAAGTAAACCATACTTACAGTAAGTGTAATGAGAATGCATTAAAAAACACAACAAATGACTATAGGAAATAACAGTATTTGTTCTGTTTTCAAAAGCCCCTCATATATTTCATCACTCCCAGCTTTCAGTTATGATTTTAAACATTTACAATAGGATGCAGAAAAAAATCCAGCTGTTATTTGTTCTGGTTCTCCCTTGTAGTAAATCTAACTTATTTTTTTACAAAATAGACTCTAAATAATTAACCTCAGGCACATTTTTAAGCACTATGGAGAAAAAGAAAGAGACAGGAGGGATCCTGTTTAACTATTAATATAACATTGATTAGCTTGAGTCTTTCAAACTTTCTGATTCAATAACTTGTTAAAAAAGTTTATTGCATTTCTTTTCCTGAGAATAACCCTGTCTTAAGGAATTTGCAAATGGTAACGTAATTATGGTTCTTGTCACAAAAAGTAGTTTTTGAAGATTCTTTAAAAATACATCCTCATTAAGCCTTCAACCACAAACCGGAATTAAATCAAAAGAACCTGAAATTAAAAAATTAAAATACATGTACAACCTTTCTCTATCTAGAAAGAGCAGTCACACTGTCTTTTCAGCTAGCTGTCACCTGTCAGTCATAGTGGTTGCCATAGCAACAGCCTCTGGATGGTGTGGGAGGAAAAGTACAAAAAAAACATATCAGTCTGGAGAGAGAAATCTGTTATCGTTTTGCATTCCTTCACAGATCTTGAACCAAGCTCTGCCTTGAGCGGACACATGTCCTCATACAGACAGGGATGGTCAGAGAATCCCAATTAGAAAATTAATTAAAATGTAAATTATACAGCAGCTAACCCTCGCTTTTGTTCTGCATCGATGCAATGCCACCAAACAGCCCGACATGACACTCATGCATTCTCGGCTCGAAGTGTAAATGTAAATTGAACAAAAAATACATAAGAACAGGACACATGTTGCATGTGCACATATAAACAGCTGGAGGTTAAATGAGCCATATCACGGGCCACCGGAAACAGATTTCTCTCCAGACTCGCAAAGGCGTTCTTCTCCCTCCTCCTTTGCTTTTTTTAAAAAAAAAATCTGCATCTGGTGATGATATCGATGTAATCTGCTTTTAATTAACTTTGTTAACAGGATGGAGAGCCTACGCTGTTGTTATCAGACAGGGGATGCTTTCCACACGGACGGGCAGCGGGAAGGGAGGGGAGGTGGAGGGTGAGAAACCAGAGAAAAAGAGTGCCCCTGTGGGACCCAGAGTGAAATGGAGAAAGTCAATGAAGATGGCAAAGAGCCAAGCCAAACATCGCCAGCCAGCACTGATCGCATTCATTTAGCAGACAACAGGCAACAGAAGAGGCCTCAGGGTATTCTAATGTAGTTAACATCAGATACAGCAGGCTATTACTATCCTATTGATGCTTAAAGACAAATAAATTGCTGCAGGCTCTTGTATTGAGTTTAAGAAAAAAAAACGTTGCCTTTAACACTGTTGTTGTTGCTGGTGGTGGTTGTTGAAAGCTTTCTTTTCTCATTCAGAAATAGTTTTGAAACTGGGCAAAATTAAGATCAGATTTCATTTTTTGCTTTTGCCCACCTGCCAGTCAATGCACATACCATGGCTTTGAACTAGACAGAGTTAATAAAGTAAAATATTTTGAAGAAATAAAGTTGCCTGGACTTTCATACAGTGGTTCTAGAAAACACATTTTAAGGCTAAGCATCATTTTTGCATGTATTCAGAAAATTTATCAATATTCATACATTTCAGTTTATTTTGATTTTCACTGTCTCAATGATGGGAGTGCCCTATATTGATAACTGTATCCAGATTTAATCTAGTTTTTATAAAAGACAGCATTTTAACAATTAACAGTTAAGTATAAAACCACAAAAAGAAAAAGTAGGTTGATATAATACTTCAAAGACAACAGCTCCTATAGGCTGGATTTACAGAGACCAAAGTTATTTGCACTCAATGCAAAATCCAAACCAACACACCAGCATAACTAAAAAAAAACATTGGTCTCAGTCTTCACATCCACCAGTGAAGACAGGGAGAATCTGGCAGCCATGCCACTGATTAAAAGTGTTGCAAGGAATGATGCCCCTTTGTCAGTGCCAAGCACTGATGTGGGCATTAGGGCCCATGGCTGAAACAAACATCCTATTGCAAAAAGAAATACATTAAAACTGACACTATCAGATGCCAGTAAATACTGATAAACAGTACTTGGATATGACCCAAAATAAAAGCTTAAGCTCTACCCAAGCCATATTAATCCCCTTTTGAATTTCTCAGCATGATTGACACCATTGCAACCCAGTCTTTCTGCATTACAGGAAATAATCACCCTGCGCTATTGCAAATATGGACCAGAATGAACAATTACTTTCTCTATCCGTTTTTACTGCCTTGATGAAACACTGTGGAATCAACTCATCTTGTTCAAATAAAGCCCGAGTTTGTACAAGGCACTGGCATACAGAGCTGCTCAGTGGATTGTAAAATAAATGAAATACAAGCTGTGGAAAGGCACCTTCTGCACGCAAACCAAAGACAATATTCAGAAATAAAACAATGATTTATTGTCTGTGAAAGAGCACTGATAATCACAATCCTTTTAATTCTATCTTTGCAAAAACCAAGCACCCAACCCTTTTGGAGAATGTTTCTGGATTCTCCATGTCCACTGTTTTAAGGGTATTAAGCTCCAGGTGGTTGTTGGCACACCTCTAAGACTGCCATTTGAAGTCATTGACTTCAACTGAAGTGGACTTTTGGTTTGTTTTTTTTATTTTGGCAGCAGTCAAAAACCCTCACAATCCCTGCAGCTTCCATAGGACATGTGTAAGAAACTCCAAAGGTCAGAACCAAACCCATCTAGCATATAAAGCCTTTTGAAAAAGTTGCTTTTTTTCTTACCTTTCATTCCAAACTTAGAACGGCGGCCATATTTGTTGATGAGAACAAAGAGAACAACCAGAAGCACACAGGCGAATCCAGCAAGGCCAACAGCAATTGACACCTAAGAGAAGGAGACGAGAGGATTCAGTTAATCTAAACACCATCCTGTCAAACCTTCAATAAAACACAGCTCATGGGCACAGAATATCTTTCACAAGCCAGGCATACAGTAAGTGCTCTGTCACTGTAAAAAGCAAATTATACATGGCTAAGTGACTATAGCGCCATGTGAAGATTTTCAATGAGTTCTCCAGTTTACAGGATCATTTTTCTTTCTCACATGCTAACCCTGGTAAAGAATACAGGCAAACTGCCTCTTGTACTCTGCATCTATATTAAAGATAACAAGAACTCCAATGCATTTATTCCTATATCACTATGGATATGAACAATAATTATTTGGAGGCTGCCCTTATACTCTTAATTTTCTTAATATTCATTCATATCCAACTATATCCAACTGCCCTGAGAGATGAATATTCTTCCATAAAACAGGGCAATGGAATAGCTGAAATTTCCTTGAGACTTTGAAGACACCTACATTTTCGATATGTTGCTTTCTAAAGAGTGCACTGAAGACTGATGGAAGTTTTAATATTAATTTAATAAAGATTTAATACAACATTTTTGCTTCTCCTGAAGTAAAAACAAATGTGAATTTACATTGAATGTGATCATGCAACACTGCCTGTTTGAAGGAGTCAGTGGTCTGTTAGATTCTCTAACTGGCACTTGCCTGAAGTTGACCATTTGAACCCTTCCTGTAGCACATTTCTTGTTTCAGAGAAGAGTGGGAACGTAAACTCTATTTTAGAAATTTTATTTATCATCAAGTCTTAGTGAGAAGGAAGATTTATCTTGAGCACATTAGAAAGTTTAAATGTCTTTGGCACGAAAAAAGACTTTGCACATTCTATATATCCCTACCGTAAGGGCAACACAGTGCTCCTAGTTGTAGTATACTGTAACTTGAATCATTGAATTGATTGTATTGTAGATACTTCAGTTTATGGGCTGGACATGCCCCAGTAATAAAAAGGTCGCAATTTGAAACTCAAATGGAATTATTTGAGGAAGGAGAATAAGAAACACTTTTTTACACTTAAATCCTAGAAAAAAGTAGGTGGCTGAGGCACAGACTCTGGGCTTTTCAGGTCGGATAAAAACTTAGGTTCACTATACTGCAAAACAACCCAACAGACGAAATAACCTCCTCTTATTTGTAGCATTTCTTTTTTTTTCTGTCCTATGTTGCAAAAAATTGGGGTTACTTTATTTTCCACTTTTCTCTCTATGTATAGTATACAGTATATATTCTGTTGTCTGCATAGTCACTTTCCTACCTGCCATGTTCCATCACACGTCTCTCTTGTCCACTCTCCCAGCTTTAGAAATTCAGGATTGTAATATCTCTGACCACCTTCTGACATTTTCTCAAAGCTCAGCCACTCAGGCGAAAGCTGTACCTCTGTCTATCTCTCTGGCTTGCAACCACACAAGTGTTATCAACAGCACAGCACACCTACAGTACACTTCTTGTTGTAGATGACTTACACCATAATTGGCCTAGTACTGTACAGTATATTGAATTATTTGATATGCTGCATGCTCACTGTTCGGGCTTATTGTATTTTAAATCCGACACTTCATTTACTAGGGTTGGTGGCCCAAAACATATTTCTTGCTTCACTATGTAGGACAGTACATTAGATGTACTGTATCCCACGTTTTGCTAGATCACCCTTCTTTATACTATACTACAACTTGTAATAATACAGATCATTATCAAAGGCAATTATGTTGACCCACTAGTCCCAAACTTTAGTACTCAAATTTCTACTTCATCTAAGCATAAGAAAGCAATGTCTCCTATTTCTCACTTGCATCCATTTTGCTAAAAATGTGCTAGGTACAATATAGCTCTGAAAATAAAAATAAGCTAAATGCTTACTAAAATTGTCTTCCGCTTGAATCTTCTATATAATTAAGATAGGACACCAGAGCAATTGGAAGCATGTGTTCTGTGTCCCAAAGCTTGCTTCCACACCACAGCTAATAAGGTTTTATTGAGAATAAAATAATCTTCACCTAACCAATTATAGCCCAAAGCTAAGAGAAATTACATTTTTAAGAGGAAGGAAAACAACTGTGGTCATGCGGGGGAAAGGCAGCAATCCAGAGGAAGCTGATGTGTAATGAAGCTGGAGCAAACGGAAAAAAAGTGAGCAACAAAAGCCCCATTGCAGAGATCAAGAGATGCACAATTGCAGGTGTTGTCAGACCCAAAGTCAAAGTTTGGGGTCTCTAGAACTTGTCTTACTGCTGTTTCCAACTGTCTCTTTTTCCCCTTACCACACACCACTTCACACACCAGCATGAATAGTTGATACTCATAACTGCAATAGGTGGCTTACATTAATTACAGCAGTACTGTTACTGTTTTATAATATGACAGCCAAATAGAGTGTTACTGGGGATTGATTTAACTGCACTAATATCTGTGTTTTGCTCTGAAGCCATTGGGGAAACAGTTAAGACATCAGGACTGTCTTGTGCCCAGACAAATATGAAAATCGTGTCTTGCTGTACAAGCCAGTTTAAAAAATCTAAATATTATTTCAAATATTAAAAATCTTAGATTTTTTAAATGCAATATTGGTAACACAGTGTACACAGTGCCCCTTAAAAAACATCCTGGTTCTTTTTCACGTTGATGAATGTTCTATGCATAAAAAGAGCAACAATGGTCATGTCTTTCATAAAGTTGCAAACTCAAGTCTTTTTAAATACGTGGTTCCACAGATGGGTCAAATCTTTACAAAACCCTTTGGTGCGCATGTTTATTTAAGAAGGAGACAATGAGAAACTGATTGACAAATTAAATTTTCCTATTTACACAAATGCACAGAAGATACTGATATTAAATGCAGAATCCACTGCTGCCCCCCACCCATTGCAGAATTGTTACTCTCGCACCAGTAACAGAGCACTTAAACTCGCCAGACATGGTTACTGGAGATCAAGGTCACGTGATCACGGATCACGGATCATGGATCACGTGATCACCCGAAAAAGAATGCACTACAGTATATCTTGGGAACCAAAAGCAGCTGGGATAGTTACTTTCAACGGCACAAATCGGCACAAACGCTTCACTAACAAATGAGACCGGTTAGGTTCTCCTACGAAGTTGTAGGGGGGCTGGGCAAGGTTACCCCCCAAAAAAGAAGGTTCTATATCTCGCAAATGAAAGCAGCTGGGAAGTTACTTTCAAAATGTAGCACTAATGAATGAGGGAGGTTCTATCGTTTGTGCTGTTTGTAGGGGGGGCAACTTCATGGAGCTCAACAAGAGAGAATCTGCAAAGCCTTCTGGTATCATCAGAGCACAATGCCACCAAGATGACCATTTGCGTTTGACCTCATGAATCTGGAGTAGCAACAAGTCCTATTATTACACTTAGAATTGTTGTGAATGATTTCTAATAATAATTGTGTTGCCTTGAACAAGTAGCTTGGTGCCTCTCTGTAACTACAGAGGAATGTGGTAAGAGGACCCTCTGATGAGAGACATTGTAAAACTGTGCAGAACCATGTAATGATATACAGCACAGATGGGCTCCATCAAGTCTGTAGTCTGTTTCTTCCTAAGACCACAAGTTCAAGGTCACTGTTCATCACCAAAGAAGATCCACCAAGGAAGGATCTTAAGAGTGGATGACAGAACTATACCTGATAGCATCTCAGCGTCTTAGCCAATCACCATTTTTCGTTGATTAACTCACTAACTCCTCATCTCTCTCCAACTGATCTGACTTTTCCAACAAAGTGACTGCTAGCAGTCTGAGAAGGGACTAGAACCTTTCTCTAAAATGCCAGGTCGAGAAAGTGAGTTCGCAATCCCACCGTTATTTTCGCCTGATCAAGTTAAAAAGACAGTTTTCCTGAAAATCCGATTATATACTGAACTGAGTTCTCCCAGCTGTGTGCTGTACCAAAGAAGACAGATGTGCACAAACTGCTTTAAAGACAGTTTTCAGTGTTCAGCTGCAGTAACTTTTGGAAGAGCTACTCCCAGCAACACAGCAAAGTTCTCTCTTTTCCTCTCCTCCCTGCACAAAACAGACAGCTGCTAAGTCGGACTGCTAAGTCAGACCAGGGACCAAGCTGCCGAGTTCCATTTTTTCACCGGATTGTTTAACTCATCAAGGATGTCGGACCAACAGGTCTTTGAGTATAAAACTTTTTTATATTCACATTACAATTCTCGAAAGTTGAGCTATTATTCCAATCACATTTGATGTTTGATAAAGGCATGATTACTAAATTAATTAAATGCATATTTACTTGTATCTGAGAATATGAATATGAATCATATGAGACTTATAAAACCTACTAGGTTCTACAGACCATAACACTTTATAGTCGATGTGCAGTCGACTCGCAAGTAGTACTCGCAATTGTGAGTAGTGTGTAAAACCAAATTTGGATATACTGTGCTTAAAGTTTACCCTATAACCCTTCTAACATCTTATGGGAATTCAAGATATTAAATACAAGCATAAAAACAATCATTTAAAAATGGTCAATCTTGTAGGTGTGCTTCAATATTTTTTATTTTCCAGAGCAGACCGTGTAAAGCTATTGCTGTGTAAGTGGCAAGTCGGCTTTTAAATCTGAAGTTGTTAACTTTGTTAATTCTTTTAACTGCCTAGGATGCCTAACTCTGTCAATTCTTTAATCGCCTAGGATGGCAATGATAAATTGGAAAATGTTGTTAAAACCCAAACCCAAGTAAATCGCTACCTTTAGTCTGCACACTCACCCCAAATGTGTCCTCCTCTGGCCTTGGTGTGACACTCAAGGGAGGGGTAGGAGTACCACCTGTGGGAGTAAGAAGTACAGAATGTCAGAGCGCACATTTACAAAGCAGTACATATTGTCATTAAATTGCCATCCTCGTTACTCAAAGGCAAAATGCTATCTGGTTAACTTGAAACTCTCGTAACAAACTCGTTTCATGATTTTTTCCAGAATCAGATTTTCATGTGCTGTTTATGTTTTTCATAGAAGGTAACAGTAATGTTATTAATCACAGTAATAAAATAGTAATGACTAAAATCATGATAAGACTAACAACAATAATTAAAGCTGGAGAAGTCTCAGCTCAATTAGTGACCTCTATATGCTCCATAGTTTATAAACTAGAGGTTTTATAAAACAAAAAAAAACAGAGTAATTTTACTTCATGCTCCCTGCCCTCTCTTTGCTTTTTATCATTTGAATGTAACACAAACGTTTTGAAATACTAGGTACCTTTTTTACGCATACGTTCCTTTTACTTTTTATTTCTACCACTGAATTATCCCTTCAAAACTATCATTATAAACGTTTTGGATGCCTAGGACAAATTCATCTGTCTCTGTCAACATTTTCTAAAACCACCACAAAGATCATACTCTTTGCCGTGCCACCTCTGCAATCCTGTTTCTCGGTTTCAGGCAGGAAATATTGTATTTCCAGTTTGGGCCATGGAGTAAAAAGTATGAAGGCTTGACACTTGAGATCACAGAGTAATTGCCAGCAAATTAAACGGTCATATGGTGGATGAACTCCTGGAGGCCCAGCTACACACTGGAACATATCCACTCAGTGCAGCCCATCCTCCTGTTCAGTGCAACAGTAATTAGCATTACTATGGTGCATTTAGTTGATTTTACTCTCCTCTCCTCCAGGAACCTTGGCAGCTGGCTTTTCTCAGTAAGCATTTCCTTGGTTAACACATAGTCATTTAGCTTCCCTCATTTGGGAAATCTATGCCAGAACTGGTTCAACACTGGGTATCTACAATTGTCCTCTGATAATGTGGTCAGAGGACCATAGAGCTAACTTACACCAGCATTTCTCAAGAGTCTGTCTGTCCTGCACGCCTTCCTTTTTCTCAATGAAGCAGGATCATCCAACTTCATTTGATCTCTGACAGCAACAATCTGTCACTCTCTCTCTCGTCATGCTTTATAATGCGTGTAAAATTATAATGAAGTGCTGAAGATCTACATCTGAGAAGTTTAGGATGAAGGGCACACAAAGTGCTGCTTTTATGTTTAGCTTCAGAACAGTAACAGTAGTTACAGTGCAGATCACATGGATTGGGGTGGCAATTGGGTACATGGCCAAATATTGTATAACATACTGTACTACCCTGTTGGCAGTGACAGCTTTTCAACACTCTGGGTATTACTAAATTCAGGCACTGCTGTCTCAGAATGATTAACGTCTTGGCTACTATGAATACTTCATACTTACAACCTTAGTAATTACCCATTGAGTAATTAGAATCTAATAACATACCACATAAAAATAAGAAACTTACTTAAGTCATAGTCATCTGAAAAAGAAAAGAAAGAAGTATTTATATTTATATTAGTAAAATCAGTGGAAACATATAATTGGAAACTCATTTATGCATTTATTTTTGATAGTATACGTTTGACTATTACTATCTTACTAAGATAACTCCACATGAAAAAAGGGTGTTTTAACATTTCTTTGTTTATCTTTATGACTTCCAACATATGTCCTTATCTCTCATTGTTTTTAAACGGTAATCACTCTCTGTGAGAGCTGTGTGGAATAAGTGGGGAAAGGCTCTCTATTGTGAAGCGCAGGAAAAGAATTTCAAAAATAGAAAATAATGCATTATCCCAATAAATCCGCTTTTCAAAATATCTGACTGACATTAGCCTCTGAAAATCAGTGTTTAATTTACTGTGAAGTTTTTTAATACCAACTTTATAAAGTATCATTGTTCAGGTAACCATTTGTCTGTGATAGCCAATGTAATGTTGTATTCCTTTCTGCTGTTATTAAATCATAGCAGCATTTATAACAGAAGATTGAGAGCAAGATTAACTACTGTACTGTATAAATATAGGGAACATTCCTATCCCAGCATACATTACTTTACTTCAATCCCCTGACCTCATCATTACTATGGAGCAGCTCTTTGGCTCATTGCATGTAGTGGGGGCTCCAATGGTCATACCACCAAGGCTGTCCTTCTCTCAGCCATGTGTGTTAAAGATCTGTAGTTCATGATGCCAAAGTGCTAAACCGCTCAAGGTCCAACCAAAACCTCTGAACTTTAAATTAAATTGCACAGTGAAGAGAGAAGACTTTAAGGCACCGTACAGTTAAAAAGAAAAGATTAATTGATCTAGTGCCCCGTTGGTTGTCTCATCTACAAAGAGACGAAGACAGACACAAAGCCAAAAGAGAGTTATTGTACCAGTACCTTCTGTGAAAGGGGGGTGCAGGAAGTGGCCATAGATGGTCTGGGAAACACTTCCAAGGGCATTGGTGGCCACCAGGGTATAGTTGCCATTGTCGTGGTGTGTGGGGTTCCTCAGAGTCAGACAGCCCTCCTGGAAGTCCATGAAGTGTGCCATTTCTACACGCTTGTAATCATTCTGCTGGATCTCTTCACCGTTCATCAGCCAAATCAGTGTGGGCTGTGGGTTGCCACGCACGGTGAACTCGATGCAGGTGTCGTGCCGCCTCTCCGGTTCCATCAGAGACATAATACGAGGGGGAACTGTGTATCAGCCAGATTGGAGAATTAGTGCACTGGGGAAACTATGCATTGAGGGGTAGGGATACAGTAAAACATCAGGAGATTTTCATGAGCCATTTGCTGAAATGTTTCACACTTTGCTTTTGCTTCTAACTCATGCGATTGTCAGGGACTGGAATATGCCACTGGAGGTATACAGTACAAATGCCAAGTAGCCATTCAGCCCCTCTTAATCATTGCTTGTATACATGATTTTCCACCAAAATCCACCAAGGATCCTAAAAATTCAGCTTCAACCACAGGGAAGTGCCTCATGTTTTCTGTCCTGAATGTACCTGAAGTTAATTCTTACTTGTTTGCCTAGATCTTTGAACCTCTGTTGATTGTGAAGACATTCCTTGAACTGATTTCGAATGTTACATTCCTGACTCCAGTCCCCTGGTTGTTTCTGCTCCAGGCAGGTCCAGGTAAATCACACACTTTGTTCACTGACACTGTGGGTGATCACCCCCCAGAACAGTTGAGAACTTTTCTGCCCGGCATGTTGTTCTCTTGCTTACTAAATGCACAAACAGATCTACTGTGAAGGATCTGGGCCAAATGAGATGAAAATACTCTCCACAGAAGCGTTCTCTTGGCAAAATCCCTGCCTCTATCTTTGAGTCAGTGTGTTGGAACCTCACCATCTGTAATCAGGGAATCATAATGGTTTTCATTCACATGCCATAAACATTGTCTTACATAGTTTAATCCAGACATTTAATCCTCAGGCAACAAAGTTTACATGGACATTTGTGCTCGGAACTGATTTGGATGAAAAATACTGAATTTATATTAATTACCAAATAGCTATACAAATAAGACATACTGAAAAAAATAAGCTATATATATTGTATGCAATTCATATACTGTACTGTATGTAGAAAAATGTAGCAATATATGTCATATAAGATTATTTCTAAGGTTATTTCTATATTTAAATTATTATATTAAGAATTAAGTTGTATTACTTACTGTATATAGTATTTAGAATAATTTCCAATTATTTTATTGTGATAAGTTGCTCAGACCTAAGTTGTTTATTATTTGGTCATTTTTATATGTAATTTTGAATTGTAATGGAGTCTTAATGCAAATTGACTTGTTTTTTTTTAATTTAGTTTATCTTTCCCCAGAAATCTTATCTTATTAGTATGGAAGTGCATTGCTGCTATCAAGGAAAAAAAATGTGTGGTATCTCGTTATTACGAGAAAATTATCTCGTAATTATGAGATAGTACATTATCTCATAATTACGAGATATGAAATTATCCTGTTATTACGAGATATTAAATGATCTTCTTATTGTGAGATAGGAAATTATCTTATAATTACAAGATAGCAATGATCATGTGAGTGTACACTATGAACAGCCTATGACATTGTGCAATGACAGCACTTATTGTAGAAGCTACAGGCTGTTAACGTACTTTATGTTATTCCGAGATACCACATGGAATTTTTTTTCCTTGATGGCAACAATGTGCTTCCGTAGACTAGCACAATGTACCACAGATGAAAATATTTTTTTTACTTACTGTAGGTACTGTAAGATTGAAAAAGGCACATTTTGACTTTTTTGTGTTCACTTAACAGATTGTCTGGCAAGGTGACACTTGTAACTTCGGCAGTATGTATGTTTCTTAATACACATTATAAAGTGTATTGTTTTTGCTTCATGTTTCATTAAAATTCACTTACCTAAGCAATCATTCATTGAATCACAAGTATTATTCATATTAGTAGTATTGTGAGCATTGTATCATACCAGACACTGTGAGTTTGATTATTTTTTTAAATGTTCCTGTCCAGAAAAAATTAAATAAAATCTTCCAGGGAGCAATCACAAAAATTAAAATCTATTTAGCATTAGAAAGTGAAATACAAGGACACAGATGGATTTTTTCACATATTCCAGAGGGAGGGTTTGTCTATGGAGAATGTAGTGCTTGAAAAATGCAACGCTTTTAAAAGCCTTATGTGCCAGGACACCATCTCACCAACTCCATAAAAAAATGTATCTGTAGTGAGACGTCAACTACGGGTCCTACCAGCCAGCATCATGGGAGAATTTACAACAACAGAGCGACAGCTGTACAAAGCTCAAAGAGAGGGGTACAGAATTACAATGTGAAACTGTATAGAGGCGGCTAATACTCTGGCAAACCTGTTTGTTATTTCATACAAATATCTACTAAGTCATTTGTAACCCAGTTGAGACAGTGTGCGGGCAATAACAAGGTGATGATAGCACTGGATCATCACAGTTATTCTTAAAATCTTTTTTCCCAGCTGCCCAGTGCTTTCATTCATTTTGATAACGGGAAGCTTCAGAGCCGTAAATCCGCTCTTCCCCTGAGACAAGTGTGAGCATGCACACCAGACAACACAGATGACGCCTATTTGGAATTCAGCATGCTGCATGATCCTTCCCTGAGTGCTGCCAACTCCTATTTCTTCAGAAAAAAAAGGCTTGTCATTTACAGAATTCTCCTTGCCTCCTGCAGCAGTCACTCAACAGAGTGCATCCTCACTGCTCCTTCAGAACAAAATCGGATGATTCATTTCAACAGTCCTCCTTTACTTTGCGAGTCTGACTGTGGCATTTAAATTTCTCCTTGTTGCCACAGGTAAGACCGGATTTTGCCTGAGAGGGACCTGCTTACACTTTAGCAGCTTCCCTGCAAATGGATTTTTATGCTTATTCAATTGTATAACTTGCAACTGGTGGAATCAAATGTCATTTACTGTACCTGTGGCAACAACAGAGTGCCACCGTATAGGCAGTTCTCTGTACTAACAGGGAGTATTGAATGTCTGAGAAGACAATATTTGTACATTCAAAAATAGCCGCAAACGACAAACTTGAGGGAGCTTTAAAACCTACAAGTACACTGTTGTAGCCTGTAGTTCTTTTACACCCCCTTCCTGTTACTTTTCGAAGTACTTTTTATATGGGGGCGGTTTTTAGTAGAATGTTCTTTGGCTCCAGTACATGCCTTTGAATTGAGATGCCATTGCACACAGTTTGATACTGTATACAGTATACAAAGACTTTTTAATGTTAGATTATTAATTGCATGTGCAATAAAAAACAGTTATTTAGACTGATTTAGAAAATATTTGCACAAAGTGTATCGATATAAGATAAATATAAAACTACCTAAAGAGTTCTATTTCATATAATACAGGGGCTGCTACAGCTTAGATGCACACACAGGAAATGCTTGATCTCCCCCAGCTCAAAGCTGGGTTTCAGGGACATACAGCAGATCAGCATCTCCTAAGCATGACGTGCAGAGCTTAAACTTGTGAAGGATCCCTTAAATACAATAAAGCAAGGCTGTGTGAAGTTTGTTAAAAATCTTCAAATTTGCTCTGTATTGCAGATGTCACCAAGTTTTCCAGAGAAGGGCGACTTAAAGTGACAAAAAACACTTGCTAATATTCTTAGGTACAGCAACTTTGTATTTTTAGAGCATTCTTAAACCTGCTAAAACATAACAGGCAAAAACTGATTATTACAAAATCTGATGATTAAATCAGATGTGATTTGTGAGTTTGTAGTATAGATAAGATCAATACTACCACCTGTGGTTTTTACAGTTCAGTTTTCTGTGTGTGTAATGCCTTGTAAAGATATTTTTTGTTACTACAACAGAAGGTGCGCTGCTCCTCATGGTCACCTTTATAACCAATGTTTTTAAGTGCTGAGGTTGAAATCAGAGCCTGGGGTTGTTTTCAGGCTACGATACCCTTTGTCTAGAAAAATAATGTCACTGCATCCTGGTGAAAACCTTGCTATGCGTCAACATAAACTTCACATTGCCTCAAGACCACTGCAGTAAATTTCTCAAAGATTGCTTTTGTGTAACACATTTGATGAAAATAGAACCCATAGGCTCCCATTTCTTTACAGATAACTCAGGTCTTTCAGATCCATAGAAAAGATAGGAACAAGAGGAAGCTTTTGAGCCTGTTTTGTTTCAGACTTCAACTTTTTGGATAAAGAATAAATATGTGACTACTGTACTCAGTTTTAAATGACAAAAATTTAAAAAAGGACAATTGTTTCATCTTAATTTCTTCTTCTGTCTTTTGTTCCTTTTTTTATTGTTAATCTGGAGAAAATGTATCAAACTAACTTCAGTTACTGTTACTTCAGTGAAACTGTCAGTATAGTTCAGGATTTGAGCACTCTATTGGGTCCTCTCATATTCTCCTCTCTCTTCAAGACTAAGAGATTTGGATTCCTTAGCTGGTTATGTAAGGCATTCCTTTTAAACCATGCAATGAATTTGCGACTACTGGATCAGCAGTGAGTTATTGTCAGCAATGTGCTAATAAAATTATGTAAAACATTCTGAACTTATTTTTAATTAAAAAATCAAACTTCAAGTGTACTAAGAACACGCCTAGTTGTCATAGTCTGTGCACATTATGTCTTAGACTAGGAATGGGCCACTATAGGAATTGTCTATCCTTAGATGCAGAGCTAATAGAGAAAATAAACAATTTTCTGATCCATCATTCAGAACAGCCTACAAATAATGGCAATTGTCTCTTTACAGGCTTTTAGTCATTCAACACTATTAAGGTCAAGCAGGGTAAAGAAGGCATCAGTGATGGAGGATAGGGACAGAGAATATCAGGATAATAAGCAGTTAACACGAAAGTGTGCTCCAAACACTGAGGCAGAATAAAGCACCCTATTAACAACACTGGAAGTAACTTTCTAACAGCATGTAATCACTGCCTCATTTTACTGTCAGTTAGTCTAACTAAATACTGCAGCTGTTAACACCATTTTATGGCATTTCCACAGAAACCAGGGATGCTGCTGGGACAAGTTCTAATTACTGGGAGGGTTAGGTGACCTGGAGAGATCTAAACAAATGTCTGCACTGCATCACTGGGCTCAATAAACGGGAGGACCTTACACAATTATTCCCATGATCTCTCGGCCTGACCCGCTCTCCCTTGCTGTAATGACATGCAATCATGTGTATTATATAAATAAGGGAATAAGACAAGTTTGAGCCATCCTTCCCAGGCTTTTGTTTTTAAGGATGAAATAGTGGCATCTCAGTAATTCAGCGCCTCTTCGTGTGGAATCAATAACCGACAGGATTAGCTGGCTTACTGTCATTTAGCGTTTGAAGGAGTGTTTTTGAAGTACACATTGTACTCCTGGAATTCACACAGAACTGAAGCTGTTAAATTCATATTTCACATTCCTTTAACAAACCAAACTGCACCCTCTCCCAGTACAGCCAGTACATGTTCTATTTTAAATGTGTTTTTGCCAACAGTGCAATCCCAGCTACCTTTCTTTTTTGATTCAGTTTATTTATAGAGGTGTATGGTTTTACACCCGTTCAAAGGTGTACCCTCGCTAATTGGAGGATTCAGTTTCAGTTCTTATCTCCTTGCGATTAAAGTGAGATTGTGCTTTCTAAAAATTCTGGCCTAGACTTTGAAGTGTCAAAAGGCAAATCAGAATTTGTTTTATCCCTTTCTTATATGAACATATTGCTATTTCTGCTGTCAGCAAATTTGATACAGTTTTGAAACCTGTAACAGCTTAAAATAGTTCTGGCCACAGCAATAATAACAGAACCTGACCACGTGCAGAAACCTATTTGTAATAATAAACTTTCCTATTGCTGTCTCTTGAAGTAGATTTAAGATAAAAATAATTTAGAAATGAGGCAAAAAATACTTTGACGACTACAGACTTAAATAGATTCTGATTCTTCATCAGAAGGATGTAAAATAAAGACATTCAATTAATTGCTCAGGGTAACACTCATTTAGTCTGTGTCTAAGCCAGGACTTGAACTACAGTAGGTTATAACAGTTATTTAATTGAATCAATTATAGGATCCAATTAGCCAAGACATTCATGCTCTTTAGCTACAGACTGAAGGTACTGGATCTGTAAAACCCAGCATCCCTTCAGACTACCACAAGCTCACCACGGGACCACCGATCTAGATTCAGGACTCCTACAAAATCAGATTGTAGTGGTATCTTGAACTTTAATGTAATTGAACCATGAAGCAGTAGGAAGACCTGGAAGAACCATCATGTTAGAGGAGAGTAGGAAGAATGAAAACTCACAGAGGACTGAAAGCTGGATGGAAGCATTGGTCATCCCCACCACATTCTCTGCAATACAGGTCAACAGGAAGCTGTTGTCATCCCTGCTCACATTGACCAGAGTCAAATTGATAGAGTGGACATTTGGCCAGTTCACGTTGGTCTACAGGAAGAGAAAGTGACATGAAGGTACAGTGTTATTGCTCACTGAGCCGTCTATCCATGCAAATTGAATAACCAGGAAATACCTTGGTTATAACAAATATATTTGGTTTTCCAGTTTCTTCATTTATGCTGTGGGAAGTGTGACACCACAAAAATGTTAATATTTAGCTTTTTCATGTAAATAGAGCTGTAAAGGCTCTTTTTAGCTACAAATCTTTGCTTGTCAGATTTTTGTGATAAAATTAATCTGGATAAGCAGAAAAAGAGACATTTCTTCAACAGTATATGGATCAGCTTTAGGGAACCTTTTCAGTGCACGGGAGTTGGATTACAATGGAACACAAACCTAAATCCTCAGAATAAAGCATTTGAAAGATGAAAGTATCAGATTTCATGTTTTAAGTGAGAAATGTGTCTTGCTGAGCACACAGGATAATGCTGAAATGAGCTAAGGTGTTTCATACAGACACACACAAACAAACAAAGCACATCAGAAAGGAATACTAATGATACAAAGAACACCTACAATACCATGCATATTAAAATATCCAACACCAAAATCCTGTTTAAATTATATTTCTCTAAATCAGTTACATACAATGACCATTTTCAGTTAATCAGATTATTAGATTTTAAGAAAGGAGGAAGGTATATTTATAAAATATTATTTAAACCTTACTGGACTTGATTTACTAAATTCCTACCTGAGTAGCTGTATGTTGACATTTTGTACAAAGTAGATGACCTTAAAAATGGTTATCATGTGCTATGGCACACCACTGATTACAACAAAAAAGACCCATTCAGTTCAGCTTTAACGTCAGTAAAGCAAACAGGTGGAATTTCAAAGATTAGGGACTGGATGTCTAAAAAAACCTCAAGTAGTGAATTGCTTAGCATTTGGATTATTTTTTACTGGGTTCTGTAAATTAAGTGGCTTTGTGAAACACCCTTAAATCTAATCCATCCCTTATCAGAAAGTAGCTTATCTTGGTGAAGGTCAAGGCAAGCACAGGGCACAAGGCAGGAGTGAAATTACATGACGCCTCCCCTCCATGAAGGGATGACTGGCCATCACAGGGACACAAAGAAAGGGATCATTTAGAACAGCCAACCAAATCTAACCAGCATGTCTTTGGGATGCAGGAGAAAACTGAAGCACCCAGATAAAACCTGCAAGACACATGAGGAAAATGTACACAACCTACAGAGAGATGGACATCAGATAGCAGAATTGATATCAGGAACATGAAGCTACAAGGCAATAACGTTAAATTATCACACAAAAAAGTTTACAAACAAGAGGAGGCCATTTGGTCCATTTGATAGCTAGTAGCTTATTGATCTTAAAGTCTCATCCAGCCATTTTATGAAGGAAGCCATAGTACTGGCCTTAACCAGTACTATGTGAATATTAACCAGTAAATTGATGGGCTGCTCCACCACCACCAACCACTTGTTCCACAGTCCCACAAATTCTGTGCCGTCACCCTTTCTTTTCAAGAAACGCTTCAGGTATGTGGACACAAGTCCTGTTAAGGCAAGATGGCATTTACCTGATGTGTGTTAATGGAGTGGAGCCCTGTGACAGTCCAGTCCACATCAGGCAGAGGTGACCCTGACCCATTACAGATGACAGTGGTGTTGTCTCCCTCCATCACTGTCAGGTTGCTGTGGCTCACACTAATCTCTGGTAAATCTGTATGGAGATAAAGACAGCACATTAGTCTCAATGCTGATTGAATCTCCACTTCACTGAAGTTTTGCTGTCAGTTAAAGCATATCTGTAATGTCATCCTTTGATTATTTTTCTCCATTCGGAAGTCTGCATGCTTTTCTCAGCTCCAGTCAGACACAGATGTGGTGTTCTGATGTTACTGGTGAATCAGTAAGGAAAGAGCACCAATAATAAGTGACAGAGTCCAATAACTTTCTTTAGTTGCCACAGATCAGAGAGCATGCCCTGCTGTTCCAAAATGTCTTAGTTTGTGTGTTTCCAGTTACTGGACACCTGTGACTAATTCATTTTCCTAACATGCTCATTTTTATTGTGCCTTGTCATTAAACAATGCAAACAGTTTAATACAAACAAGTAAAGAGTGTACTGTATATCACTTGCATGAGCAATGAAAGTGCATGTTTTTTTTAAATCAAAACATTTTATTTTATTTTTGTGTAGTTATAAAGTATGCCAGTTAAGGACTGAATGTTTTTATGTCCACTTAGTAGTATGTTTAGTCATAATTTAAACATTACTTCTGCTCCAAGCATGTGTCAGGTAAAAAACAAACAGAAATCCAACAGTTTGTTTCGCCAAATACTCTTTTTCAGAAAAAAAGCAGAATTTTTTAGACATCCAACTGGCAAAGTTCTTTTCTGATTGTGAAGAAAAAAAAAACATTTACTAATTCACTTGTAACACAAAATTGCATTTTTCTGCAAAATGGAAATTCACAACCAAATGCTTAATATAGTATGATACACAATTAGTCTATAAATGGCATAATGAAAGTGTGGGATAAGAAAAGAATGGCCATTTAAATAATTTCTCTTTGTTTATCTCACAAAACAAAATGGAAATGTTTTAAAAGCTCTGTTGAAATGTCACACATGTTCTCTTCTTTCTATCCGTTATCAGAATGTTGATTACCCAGGCAAGGACTGAAACACTCAAAGTACATCCTGGGAGCAGAGCCAGTCCACTGGAGGACACACGGGGACACGACACTAATTAAACTAACTGACATGTCTTTGGGAAGATTAGAGGTAATCAGAGTGCCTGGGGAAAACCCATTCACACACTGGCAGAGCACGGAAACTTTGCCCCAGACTGGATTTGAACCCAGGACCAGGGAACTGTGAGGCGGCTACACTAGCAGCCATGTTACAGTGCCACCTCTCTCCTCTTGTTTTGATAATATTTGTGGCAAGATGTTTTGTCACAGTTTTACTCCTCTGTCTTCAGTCCAATTCAGCACTGCGGTAATCTTCTTAACTTTGCAAAACTGACATTTAGCATGAAATCTGTCTCAATTTCATATTCTTTAAAACACTATCATGCACTTGCATGGTCTTTCTGGAATTTACTGTTTTTGTCTCCTAACACAATTCAAAATTTGTCGTAAAGATTGGATTAATTTTCTACATACCATATCATCAATTAAAACAGAGTTTATAATTAGCAAAATATTAATAAATGCCATCCAAGCACCTACAATAATGTGCTACCTAATACTGTGTTTTAGAGGTTCCAACAAGTAAGGCTGTATATATGAAAGTAGAAAACTTGTGTTTTCCTAATCTGTTAATTCAATTTTTTTTTTTAATCATTGATATCAACTTTTCAACCCACTGGATCCCAGAAACTTTACGTACTGTATATGAAGTATACAAAGTATACTGAAGTAAAGCACAGACTTTGGTGGCACAAGGCAGCCATTATGCTCTAGCATTTTCATTACACCAGGTTGTGGCTGACCAGTAACCAATAACCAGTAACTAGTGCCCCAGTATGGTGACCAGAGACACGGTAGTAGCGGCTGGCTATCCAAGGTCCTTACTACTTAATTACAGATCCCATGGAACTGTTGAGAGAAGGGATTTTAGTCCTTGTGTCCTACCACAATTATACTCCACGCTTGAGTAAATTTAAATCCCCCCTTGATTTTAATTGGTAAAGTAGTTTCTCACTCCAGGTTCTGAGGCCAGCAGTTCTTGTTTTGATACCAGAATCTGAATCCTAAAATATTCTGTCCTGTTTCAACAAAAATGAACTGATGTCAGAAACAGCTTTTAGATCGTCTTAGGTCAGGATTAAAAGTAAGAATACTGTAGTTTGTCATAGATATTTTGGTTGTACTACACTACAGTACATCTAGTGACTCAACACATTCACGATTGCTCTTGCTTATAATGGTTGGAGGAAAAAATATTAGTTTTCTCTCTACAATTGTAATATTGTGAGAAAAAGAGCACTTTCCACAGTTTAACATGAATCTCTTAAAGACAGCTTGGATTTAAAAAAATGTATGCAATCTTCACCTTAGAGCTTAAATACAGAGTTATCCTTTCTCTCATCAGAGGGCGGTATCAGGTCAGGTAATCAAATTAAAGAAATGTGAGTTTAGTCAGAGCACTGAGCTATTCCTAGTGAAGTCTCACTTTTGCAGGATTACAGCAAATCATCAGGAATACTGAGCCACCCTACCACAGTGTGAGATATTCATGCCAAGCAGGGGGATCTTCCGAGAATCCCTGTCAAAGCAGAACAGCTGCTGTGTGTGGAGTCCCGCCTCCCCTCTCTGTTGCCACAGCTGGATCCAGCGGATGTCACAGCTACAGTTGAATGTGACTTCATCCAGTCTCCTGAAAAACAGCACAACGTTCGTTCAGGAACTGGCAGGGCAGATGAACTGTAGGTGAAGGACAAGGTTGTCATCCAAGTCTGTCAAGAAACATCCATCATGTCCTGCCTAGAACAAGACTGGAACTCCTCCATCTCCTGACACTGCAGCTCTGTCAAGAGCCAAGAGCAGAACTGGACCTATGCTGTGTACCAACACCCCAGAACCCTGACTGCTGAGGCTCAGCTGTTCGTGGATGTTGGGGTTTTTCATACAGTACAGTAAGTACAGTACAGTAAGTAAAAAAACTCTTATTTACAGACTAGAAAACCATCCTGTGTATCACAAAATAAAATAAAATAAAACTGGAGGTCAAATACTGATACCATGTTTTTGCTCTTGTGAACTCTCAGATGTCTTAAGAACAAAACAAAAGGAAGCATCCAAGGACAGTCCAAGATCTTAGGTGTGACCTGCTAACGTCTCCTCTAAAAATACTGAATCAGGGTAGTTTAGTAGCTCACAATTAAGGAGCTTTCCTCAGGCAACAGGCTAGACAACACAGCCCAGTAGCTGGTGGCTCCAGTCTTGACTGGGAGACTGGCCAGGATTATACCACAGCTGGTCTACCGGGTGGGCTGTGAGATCTACTGTCCCACAGGACAGCTGCCCTGGAGATCAGCACGAACGTGTGTGGGGGGAGTTCCCATCTCTCTGCTATCACATCAGCAAGCTTCTAACAGGGTCATAGTGGGGAGCTCAGTTGACCCAGCATTTGTACAGTATATTCTAAATTTGGGAATATATTTTATTCTATGAAACACATTTTTCAGTTTTAAAACTGCAATTGTTAGTATCCTGAAGAATAAGAGGAAAAAGAAGAAAGGCAACACCTAAAATGACAACTGTAGGACTCTATAAATATGAGACTCTTCAAAAACTCGCCACCTTAAAATATTGTGATAAAAGATGTGATATCAATTGCATGATCAAAGATGAAGTCAAAGTAAATCTCGTAAAATGAACCTACAATTAAAAAAAAAACAACTTGTGGTATTCTGGTACATTAAATTTCCTCCAGTGTGCAACAGACTTTGAAATTCATTCTTCATTTTTAATGTATGATGATGTGAAACTGTATAAAAATATTAATGTTGCCTTACAATACAGTTGAGATAAAACAGATTAGATTATTTAGGTTTTTGAGATGGAAAAAGTCTTTCATTATTAAACTAGACAGACAGAAGGGTCTCCTTTGGTCTAATCTCTCACCCAGGGTGTGGCTGCTGGGCTCTAGAGGAGGTGAGAAGGGAGGCCGACCTGTACCTGTGAAACTGCGGCAGAAACACCTTCTTAACAAGCTTCCCTGCTGCTTCCCATTTCTTCACAAGCAACATTTAAATCTGCTTGGCAAGGCGCACAGGTAGGCCATGCTCTAGCACTAGCTGCCTTCAATGCCAAAGTGTCCAGGCTCCTCACGAATACAGAGCAGAAGGCAGACAAGTAAAACTAAAGCAAACTGTTACTTGTATACTTTTTGTTACACCAAAAACACACGAATATGCATTAGAAATAAAACTTCAAATGAGAGGAGGCTATTTGGCCCATTTGGCTAGGGCGTTACCTCCATCAAGGCGGCAAGACAGATTATTCCATATCCCCACAAGCCTTTATGCAGAAATTTGCTTTCTGTATTTAGTTAAAAAATGCACTTTCCCTGAGATTTCATCTGTGTTCTCTGGTTCCCTTTTCACTGTTTACTCTGAACAATTCCATTTCTTTAATTCGTGTCTTTGACGATTTTGAGCACTTAAATCAGGTGCCATTATAGTTGTCTCTGTTCTTTAGTGTGTCCTTTGAGCTCATGGAATGCACATGGTCACTCTTTCCTGAATGGATTCCACAACACACAGTACCGGCAAATACATACAGTACTGTATGTATTTCTGTGACATGAAGATCAAAATTACCACTAATTACAGTAACTCAACCTTTTAAATGAGGTCTTATTGATGTAATGCACAATATTCAAACAAATTTAACTTAAAATAACTTCATTGAAATTATTTTTTTTACTATATATTCTAGCATTTCTTTTGCCATTTTATTGCTTTCACACATTGACATGAAGAGGAAAAAGATGTGTCAACATAAAGAACAAAGTCTTTTCATAAGGACGTTTTTCAAGCTCAGTGTTTCCATTTTATATTTATGCTTCTGATAACACTTGGCACTTCATTACATTAAAATATCATCTGCCAGATGTTTGCCCAGTCTTGAATTCTATCTTAATCTTTTTAGATTTATGAATCAACCTTCTTTGACAAATTTACTAGCTATAACAGAATCTAAGTCATTAATATAAATTAGGAAGAGTAGTGGTACCCACACAGATGCTTGGGTACTCAGTTACTTACAATGCTCCAGTTGGAGCATTGACCCTTTATTCACTGTACTGTATATACTGTTTTCTACCATAAACCATGATTAATCCAAACACATTTCCACAAATGTCTACAGTACCACTTGTAATTTGACAATGAATGTTTTATAGAACATTTCTCTTGGAAACTGAGGACTTTTGTCAAACCTCTTCACATCAAAACATCTTAACATAACAAATGTACCATATCACACTCTCTCTATATACTGTATATGGTATTACTATATAAACATTACTACTGTTGTACTTTATGTAAAAAAACACACCAAAATGTTAGATGATAAGAACCATACCTTGCATTTACAGTATATGGCACTTTTCATGTCAAAGGATCCCAAAATACTGGGCACATATACAGATGATGGTGAACCACCACTGAAGAGTAGAGCCCACTAACTGCCCTTTCAAGACCACTACACTGCAGATTAGCTAGAGAGGTGAGAAATGATTATAGCAATAGATTGAAAGCAACTTTAAAAGGCCAGATTGTACAAACCAGAGTAGAGTTCTGCCAGGACACGAGGATTAACACCTCTACTCTTTTTAAAAGGACCATTCGATCTTTAATTAGCAAGCAGTCAGTACCTGACTAAGAATTACCTTTTCTAAGTTCATGATGGCAGTCCACTAGAATCCTACTGTATTTCTGTAGATATGATAATCTAGTTTTATTTAAATTATTATTTCCTTCACCTTGCATGTAATGGAAGAGATATTGGTCATTAATTTGTGGTTTGGATTTATTGCCCTTTAAATGATTGCAGACTACATTTTCATTTTCCAGTGCCCCATGTGTGAAGAAGGGTGCATTATTTTAACTTATGGCTGTGTTTGGGTGTCAAAAATCCTGTTAAGGCACCCCGATCATAGGTGTGCCACAGCTAATATGATGTGATCTTTCCTCAGCCTGAGGTTTGCAGTTGATTTCTCCCTCAGTGAATTCCAGAGTGAAATATTCATTTAATATGTCAGTTTCACTTGCCAAGTCACGTTTAACACATTGGTTAGGAGACTTACTAATTTATAATTGGGAAAGAGGTTTCGAAGGGATTATAGATCTATTGAGCTGCAGGCTATTATATCAGTATTATTATAATGATGATGTTATCATTATGTATTTTCGGTTAGTTCACTAGGCATTGAGTTTCAGCCCTGCAAAAGACAACTAGCTGTTTTGTTTTTCAAAAGAAATGAGTACACAACATAAACAGGGCAGTGGTACTGTAGATAATCTATTTGTATTAACTTCCTTCAAAAAAGGAAAAGAAAGGAGTTTTCCTGGTGGAATTATACCTCCATTTTCATTCTAAAGGAAGATAAATGACATTGTACATTCCCCTAAGAAAAGAAAATAACAAAATATGTAAAATTACAACATATATTTTAAATTTTCCTATAAACATCCAGCACTAAATTGATTCTTTGTGCTGTGGCTTTTAATTAAGGATCCCTGGCTGTTTTTTCGTGGTGTGGTGCAGTTAAAAATATTCTGGGAGACATTTGTATTTTTTGCTTGTTCCAGGAATTGATCTCAAATCAGGAGGAAGGACAGAATTAGCAATCTCAGCAATCCAACTGAGTGACAGATTCATATTCACTGTCCACGGTTTTCTGTCTGTTCTGTTCTTTCACACTTCTTTAGGATGTGTTTTTCCTTCCTCCAGCTGGCTCAAGCAACAAAATCAATCTGAAATGCTTTTCCTTTTGCTTACAAGATCAGCAAAGATTAGTTCAATTTCATCCCATTAAAACAGCAATAGACAATGCCTCAAGTCATTTTTGCACTCAGCTTTTCTTCTTTTTAATTGTAGCATTGCCATATTTTTCAATAAGATAAAGTTCTTGTGGCAAATTAAAATTTGTTCTAAAATAACGGTTTATTAAATAATGTACTTCACTACATCTGCACCTTTGTTTTTTACTTTTTTATCTTCTCAGGACGTTGCTTCTCACATACTGTGCATATGTTCTTGATGGTTAGAAGCTCTGTGAAAGGCTGCAGGAGTCTCACGTGCTCAGCCACTCACCTGGGCTGATGGATTGGGCACTTAGGGACATGCCTGCACTAGCACATCAAATCAGGTGCCTTGCAACACACGCAACAGACGAATGCTGTGATCATTTCTTATAAGTAGTGTATCTCATGATGATTGCAATAAACAAATCATTTTAATCAATCACATATTGATTAATATATATTAATAGTTCAGGTGGAACAAAGAGAACACAACGTTTCAGCTGTGGAGCCTTCTTCAGGTGTCACCTGAAGAAGGCTCCACGGCCGAAAAGTTGTTCTCTTTCTTCTTCTTTTTTTCAGCATGGAATAAACCTATTACTTGTTCCTTTGCAATATATCTTAATAACTTGGTGGATTTGTCAATAGGGTTTTCTGTCTTTTTAATCTTGTGCCAGCAGGCACCCTGCAACTCACAGCTGGCAACCCACTGAAGTTCAGCAGGTGTGAATCTGGCCAGTACCTGGATGGGAGACCTCCTGGGAAAAACTAAATTGACTACTGGAAGCAGTGTTAGTGGGGCCAATAGGGCGTATTCACCCTGCGGTCTGTGTGAGTCCCAATG